CCAGTTTGGGCAAAAAAAGGGAGTATATGAATATAATATTGAGTTCAAGAAACTAATCATATTTGGAAAAAAATGACTGAGGTGATTCTTAACAATAGGCACTAATTGCGTGCCCCTGTAGCTCACCAGGCACAGTAAGTACGATGTGTCAAGGCTGAGTCTTTACTGCAGCAGCCCAGGTTCAAGTCCAGCCTGCTGCCTATTATCCCCTCTTCCTCCCCTGCCTTTTGTATGTCTCTCTCTACTCTGAAGTAAAATGCCGCTCAAAAAAGAATAGATGCTATTCCATTTTTAAAAAATAGAACATGAAATGCAAGCACAGAGGAAGAGGTGTGATATGCAACAAAGTTTCCTTGGCCAGGAGTCAAATGGTGCCAGTTACTGTACGTGTTACATGTCTTAACCACAAGGCTACAGGGATGCTACTAAAATAAGTGCTACTTTTGAGAAATAGTAATAGTTCATGTTTGAATAAAGCATAGTTTCATTAATTGTTGATATTTAATATGGTCAGTAAGCTTACTAATATCATATCATCAGTGTTTAACTGTAATGTATCACACTTAAAACTTTGTCATCACAAAACATCTGCAAGAGAGTAAAAAAACAATGCAACCACATTTTTCTCCTATGAACCTAAACAATTGAAATGAATAGTTTTTGTTACTGACTATCCCTAAGGAACTGCTGAATGCGGAGTGGGACTACTTGTTGAATGTGTTTCAGTCAACAAATTGACTGTTCAACTGTGAGGAAGAAAACCAAAACCACTGGTACTATAATCATCCCCGTCTCTGTCTCTCTCCGCTCCTCTCGCTCTGTGACCCATTTCTCTATCTACTCCCTGATGCTCAACTGTACAATTACACAACAGGCCGGGGATTCAAGGATACACTGGTTGAGTTTCAACAAAAACAGGATGCTTATCAAGGCTTGGCCTTTAGACACTCACACACACGTTTGCATTTTTATTCTTGTGATGAACCCTACTGACTTAAAGCCCCTGACCTAAACCATCACATCTACATGCTTAACCTTGACCTTTACCCTAACTTTAACCTAGTTCTAACCTTTATCCTCCAATCAAGCCTTTGCAGAAGTCAGGACCAACCAAAGTGTCCACACTTTGATGTCCTCTCAAAGATAATAGTACAAGAGTATGAACATACAGCAGACCTCACAGATGTCAGTTTCACAGTTTCCATTCACTGTAAACATGCTGCAGCTGTCAGTCACACATACAGTTTGTACTGTCAGCTTTTTGAAAAACGTAACATTTGCATCACCTTACTGCTGTTTCTATCGTGCAGCTGCACTATACAGCGTGTGCGTTTGTTCCTATTTGTTTTAACTTGCCTTACACACACCCACCCAGTTATGTAATAACCCTTCTTTATTCTTGACAAGAATTGTGACCCCGTTTCTTGCCACTAGATAAGGCAATGAAGAGAGACGAAGAGAGAGTGAAAACATTAGATTAGTTATGGCTTTTGCTCCAAGTCTCACTTCAGTACGAAAACGGATACTCCACCCACTTCCTATAATACAGTATACTGCACTCCATGGACTGACTGACACACACACACACACACACACACACACACACACACACACACACACACACACACACACACACACACACACACACACACACACACACACACACACACACACACACACACACACACACACACACACAGAGCTAAAATAAATAGTCTGGTGGTAAATGAGACTTATTTGCTGCGATCTCTTCCTCTCACAGACCATTCCCACCCAGTATCTTACACACGGACATGATTAAGATTCCACAACGCACCCAGATTCCAGAGTATTCCCTGAATAAACATTGCTTCCTAAATTTTACATTTTGGGTTTGGTTTTATTAGTTACAGATCCATTTTCAAAACCTACATTGAAAAGTGCTTTACAAATTGAAAGAATAAACCAGAGAGTGGGTCAACGAGCCACTCAGAAAGCTTGCTCCATGCCATGGCTGATTAGTAAAGTTCAGTCAGACATCTGACATTTGAAATGTTCATTACAGTAGTATAATATAGTTAGATTTTGGCGTCTAGGCTCCGACCTCATCACTCTCTGCACATATGTTTACTTGGAGATATTGGGGAGTGGTGAGCACGTACCTTAAACCCTCTAGTCGGAGCCTACGGGTGGATGCTGGGGTGGTGGTGGGAATTACAGAATGATAGGTAGCAATACTGATGCAAGGCAGCAGGCAGCATTGACAGAGCAGAGAGAGAGCTAGGAAATATCTGCAGCTTAAATAGATCCCCAGATCTGAAGGGTGCGCTTGCTTGGTGATTATGAGTGAGGCATGTCGTGTGTATAGCGGTGCAGCTCGAGTTGAAGTCCCTCAGTGTAATGTAAATGATAATAAAATTGATAAATGACAAAGGAAATGGAAAATGTATTCATAAATAAAAATGCTAATTCAAACTGAAGTATCTCCCTCTGTACTGTCATTTCTGAGCAGTTCTGCATCTACACTTGTGGGGTACACCCTAACGGCATGTATTTGAGCAGCAGACATCCTGTTGAACTTTCACTAAGGTGTTACAGTAGGCAGCAGTGCCTAAACAATTTAAAATACAATTTAAAGATCATTGCGAGAACCCAGTCAGTCTGAGTAGAATCTGGCTAGACAGTTAAACTCCTTATCTTTGATTTAAGCCAGCTTCAATTTTCAGCCAGATGAACTCTGAGGTTGATGTAGCTCTGGGATTCAGTGCTGACCCCATTCCCTTTTCTATGTTGGCTGACTCTTGCAGAACTTCATCCAAAATGTTTGTGGTTTTAGGGAGAGTAAGACTGAAATTTCGAGTGCATATTCAGGATACTGTTTTTCCACACAAAAGACTGTGAGGTGGTATGTTCGGCCTGGTTGTTTGGCCACCTTTCTCAGACAACACGTTATACTGTATATATTACTAAGCTAATGGGTGAGGCAGCAAATTAAAGAAGAATAAAAAAAAGAAGTCATCTACTGTATAATGCTGTTAAATACTTAAATACTCTCTGAAACCTTTTGTCTTCATGAGAAAGCTAAAAACACAGGAGGAAGATGCATATTCAAAGTGACAATTTTGGTACACAGTAGGCACAAAAACCATTATCCTTTTTGAGAAACTAACACAGAAGGAAAGAGCTGCGCTCCAGGCCAATAACCAATCACACTGTGTATGCTGATGCTAGGGTAGCAACAATCAAAACAGTTTTCTCCACTGTGGAAAGAACCATTTCTAATAAAACAGCTTTATGTGGGATCAGTGGTCTAGTAGCGCCACTGGTGTTGACATAATTAAGAGTGTGTAGCCGTAGTATCAAAGAGCTCAAGTTACTGTTATGTTTCTCAGTGCTGTAAACACTGTGGAGGAACGCAGTGATCTAGTCTTGGTGGCATCACTGCAGCTAAAAGAGTGTTGGCCTCACTGTCATCAAACTGTGGTAACTACATAACCATGTCCCTGAGGCTCCATTCCAAACATTTCTTTGTTTAATGGCATTGCTCTTTTTAATTACACACTCGAGAGAGACAGGAATAAGCATCACTCATATTGATCGATGAATACAATACAAAGGAATTTGTACTGCATGTATGTAGTGAGTCCTGGAGATTTTATTCTAGATACTTTTTCACTAAACACGCACACACACACACACACACACACACACACACACACACACACAAACAAACAAACAAACAAACAAACAAACAAACAACAAGCTCGCTCTTTCTTCTGACTGTGCCAGCACCTACATATATTAATTTATATTAATTTCACTGTTATTCCTGTAATTATCTGGTGACCCCTAAGAGTCTTCTTGGGGCACCTTAAGGTCCTCCAGGTTGGGAATCTCTGGCTTAAACAGAACACTATAAATAAGATGGTAAAAAGACATAAACTGAATACCATCTGCTTTTTACAACACAGTTAGGCCCTCCACACCCCTGTGGCCATTCTTTATCCATGTTATCTGCTTTAATTGAATTTAAAAAAAAACAAGATTTACATCTCAGCTTGCTTGTCAATAATAAAACGTCCGGCACTAGTTTTACAACGACCAAGTAGCTCTGTTTTTAAAAGACCACTCCAAACCATGACTGACTCCAAGGGGAACTAGGTTTAATGATGAGAACTAGGGCAAGTCCATAACATATCACTTATGTAAAAATAACAGAAAAGGGGACGATAACAACAAAAAAGGCGGGATTACATAACTGACATAATTGTGTCAGGTGAGTTAAAACTCACAACATCATTAGTGTCATGTTTCCAACATCTCAGACACTTCAGAGAAAACAAAGTTGCAGTCAGTTCAGTTATTTCCTCCACTGATACAGATCAAGATTTATCATCACGGAATAAATATTTCAGATGCTGCATAAATATTTTTACAAAAAGACTTCACTGTGTTTACCACACCCTTGTCTCTTACACTTGCCCTCATTTTTTCTCCCCTCCCTCCTCCCTGTATGGGTTTTTTCTCACTTTCTATTTCTTTCTGTCTCCTCTTTTCCTCCCCTTCATTGCTATCCAATCCTCACTGCACTCTCTACTTACTCAAGACCACACCACTTGAACTTTCATGTAATTACAAAGAATGACATATCATTATGAAATGAGTCTCTCTGAGAGGACAAGCAAATGTTTGGATTGTAGCAAAGTTCTATAAATTGTGACATGTGTCTCCAGCGTTGACTGTAGATATGTGACAAACAGTAAAAGAAAAAAAAATGCAGTGTAAGAAATGGGTCAATGCCACACAACTCGAATGAGGATGATTAAGAAAGCGCAGGGGAAAAGTATGAGGCAAGTGAGGGAGAAGTAAAGTGGGTTCAACACATAGATAGCAGACTTCCTTCGAGTTGTTTTACTGTGTGTGTTAATGCTCCTCGCCTGTGAACAGTATCTGTATTAACGGTGAACCAGTCTGTAGGTGTATATTTTTGTGTCTGCATGTTCTGTTTTTTTGTTTCCTACCCTCAGTCTCAGCTTGCGTGGATTCAGGTGAGGGGTTGTCCTGGCCCCAGTCTGCTGCACAATAGAGCTGAACCACCAAGAGCCGCTTCAGAGACACCAGGTCAGCATCTCTGAGCCCTGTCTCCAACTTGCGAACAATGGCCCGCCCTGGCTGGCTGGTCACCACAGTAACCTGTGAATATGGCAAGAGGAAATGGAAAAATACCTTAGAAAACCTAGAACAAAACAGACCAAAGGACATCAGTTCAAATAAGAAATATTTTACAGGGACATCCTAAGTGAAAACTTGGGCCCAGTAGGCACACATAAAGGCCTGGGTATGCTTCCAATGAAGTGTTTGTCACATGTTTGACCAACTTCTGAAATACTTCTGAAAGGTTGTATATGACAATTTCTGTAACTTTCTGAAAGCAGCAATCTGACATTCACATCATTCAGGCAGTGATTGGTCAGGTGTGTGTAGGTGAGAAATTCTTTTCTTGTGTGAAAACTAGTGCAACACCATGAATGTCTTTAAGGACAGACTGTCCAAAACTGTGTCCCAGTGTCACCGTTTTTTAATTATTAGGCCACATAGTTGTTCCACCCCACAACTCTTTCCCAGGGTCTCACTTCTGAATTGTTACAGCTGGCTTTATGAAAGATCAAGTTCGTGTTTCAAGTTGTCATATCTACAGAAGAACAGGCCACAACATCACCACAGCAAAGCATTCTTTGTGTGTGACTGTTGTGTTTCTGTTGTACTTTAGGGACATGACATATCGTAAATTACTGTTACTAAATTAAACATATGATGTCAGAACTGTTCTAGTTCCTAGTTCAGTGAAGCAAACTCAACAGAAAGGTTACCATGTTATAATGACATAACTCTCCACTTACTCAGACTGTGAAACTATGTTTTCAAGACAAAAAGCCAGCTTTACTGCCCTCTTGCCTTACGATCTATAATTTTAATGTTTCCTGTAGCTCAGCTATCATTATCTCACATGTCATGGCATCATAAATGAACAAAACTGCTGGTAAATGCACTGTAAAATGTGTTTCACTAATCCATTATTTTTTTGATAATGAAGATTTCTGCGGTAGATTTATGCAAAAGCCAACATCTTATAATAAGCAGTCACTCTCTCTGATGATGGAAAGAGATGAAATTAGTTTTCCCAGGCATTTACATGCCTAATGGGGGGACACAGATAAACTAATGGGAGGCTGATGTTGAGCACCCTACTGAATCACATTAACAGTAGCAGTAAATGAAGATTATAATGGGATTATTCTGTGCTCTGCTTCCTGCTGTTTGGCCAAAAGTAGAATCTGCTGCTGAAGCCTGACACACATCAACACACACACACACACACACACACACACACACACACACACACACACACACACACACACACACACACACACACACACACACACGACTGCGAGAAACATGTATGTGAATGAAAACATATATTGTATAAGTGGTTTAGCAACAACACACACACACACACACACACACACACACACACACACACACACACACACAGGGCCATGTCTCTGCTTAATGTCTCTCCGTCTCCTAATAGTGCTATTCATATCTGCTGCTGTCGGAAACAGTGGCTCTTAGTGTAATCATCTGCCCAGAGCTTCCTAATAAAGCTGGTTGGATTTGAGAAATCCTCGTCAACAACCCAGAGCCTTGTACCCAGAGGACATGATGTTCAAATTTAACAAGAAGGACAGTGACTGGCTCAGTTATCAATTGGCTCCCCATATGTTTAACATTTGAATCTAACAAATGAGATTCTTTCAGCAATGTCAGCTAATATTCCCATTCCCCCAAACATTTGCTGACGTCTAAAATGTTGCATTTGTGTCTCAACTTTTGAGCCTGGAACATGGGTCTGAATATTAGCCCAAAGCTGTCTTTGAATGACATAAATAGGAATTAAATAGGAATTAACACTTCTATTAAATGTGCTGCATCCAAATGATAGCTATGATCTCGATGAGTCCATCCACTTGAATCATAATAAGTGAAACAAATTCGATACGATTTGCCTTGAAACAATTTTAACAGAAACTGATAGAAGTGGAAACTCAAACATTGGTTCAAATGTGTACTTGAAGGATTTGACACTTAAATGTGTTAGCTGATTGGATATTCTAGCAAGAGGACACTGAAAGCTGAAGATTTACTGATGTCACTCTTCCTAGACAGATGGCTCAGCAGCAGATGAATAGAGCCCATTTGCTGCATTTGAAATGTACATGAGCTGGTTTTAAGTAGCCTGTCTGATATAAGATGTGAAGAGTTAACAAAGAATTTTTTAAGCTTTTAAAAATGCAAATTAGATTCCCAATTCAATGTTTTTGCAGCTGCTAAATACACTAAATTGGACCTGAGGAGAGCTCATTTAACAGATATAAGTGGAGCCTCTTCCCTACATTAGCATTGAGTACAGAGCTTGAATATCAAAGGGGTCTATTCAGTCTGAGCTGGTCTGCAGTTGAAGAGATACTCGTTCATTATGGATCTGGAGACAACCAAATATTTAGCAGAAATGACTTCATATACAATAAAGTTGTACAAAAGTGTTAAAGTGGTTACTCTATTGTTACTGATTACTGTATGTAGTGTTATGATCCAATTCCAGTTCAGGTAGATTGAGTTGACACGTATTTGGGTTCAATTAAAAATGCGGTTTGAAGTTGAAGGAACTGTGAACGCATCTCTATTGTTGTTCAGAACTTTGTCTATGTTTTAGTCACACCCCTCTGTCTTCTCTGAAAGCACACCACCTCTCACTCCTGCCAACATAGAGGTGACCGGTGTGGTTGAGCAGTGAACACAAAACAGGCACCTCTGACCAGTGCGTATGGCTGTTTGGTTGTTCCAGAAAATCCCCAAAAAACAAATATCTAAATCAGTATCAGAGACAGCGCCAAGTACTTGATACATAGGAGGACTAAATGGAGGGGATGTAGCTCAGTGGTAGAGCGCATGCTTCGCATGTATGAGGTCCTGGGTTCAATCCCCAGCATCTCCATGTCTTGCCATACAATGTTACCCTGGACCACTTAGCTGGCTGAATTTAATAACACTTAATAACCCTTAACACTTAGCGTGGATGGGGGAAAACACTGTCATAAAGCCAGCTAAATCATGGCCAAAACCTGTGTGTTAGTTAAGCTTGTTGGCCCCTGATGCTAATTTTATGTCAATAGAGTCATTTACGAATAACACCTATAATCATTGATCTGTATTTATGTTATATGCAGCACCCGGGGAGTTACTGTTTGCCTCGTTGACATGTATCATTCATGATCAAAGCACAATTTAATGCTTGCTCAGAAAAATATATAAATAAGAACATCTAAATTGTAGTTTTGGAGGTCGTTAAACACAGTATACACAGCGGAGATTCAGCAGAGCAACAGGCTTTTTACCAGATATTGGCTATGATTCAGTTTTGTTGTTTTCCAACTGAAATAGGATGAGAAAGATGAGATTTAGCCAGTTTTATGTTGTTAAGGGTGTTTGAGTGTGGATGGAACTATATACAAAAAACACCTGGGTTCAAACCTTAGCTTCTTCTTGAGCCACCATGCTACCAAAAGTCAAAGGAAATTGAGCAGTGTTGACTACTGTGAGGGATTTTTGATAGAGCAGATAAATATTATTCCAACTGGACTTTCTAAGCCATATTTCATTGTCTCACTGGTACCCTTAACAACGCAGGCCCCTGTTTTGTTTAAATGAATCTCTGCTAACTAAAAACAGCTTTAAGAAAACATTGTACATGTGGTCATGGAGAGTAGGAAGTAACAGAAAAGAGATTTAACCAGCTGAGACTCAGTAGACTAATCTTGCGGTGGCTTTAACAACCATAACAAAGAAGATATTCAGCTCTCAAGGTTTGCTCTTGAGGTGTAGAGGACTACAAATGGAGGGGATGTAGCTCAGTGGTAGAGCGCATGCTTCGCATGTATGAGGTCCTGGGTTCAATCCCCAGCATCTCCACTTCTTGTGACGACACTATACAGCACTGATCACTTAGGGATCTTTCCTAATGCACTGAGTAATATATATATATAAATATAATGCTCTATCACATGAACATATTGAAGCTAACACAATTGAAGAATGCAGAGCAGATGATTATTAGTATTTGCCCGGTTAAAAGGGAGAATTTGAATAATTTAATTATTCTTCAGTTATCTGAAATTAGAACATCTAAATAGTGGGTTCAGCTGAATTGAAAGACAGTGCAGGTGATAACATAGCGACAGAACAGAGGTTTAACCAGCTGAGCACAGTAACCGGGGTGAATCTGTCTCGTTCGTTGACAGATGTTGACACACACTTCTGGTGTGGGGAAGAGGGAAGAGTGGGGATGTAGCTCAGTGGTAGAGCACATGCTTTGCATGTATGAGGCCTGGGGTTCGATCCCCAGCGTCTGTTGATCTGATACTTAAACAAATGACCACATTAAGTGAAGTTCTGTGACATTAGATGTTGCAAAACAGTTGGAAAGCCCCCTAAAATGCATTTTGGAGCATTATCTTTGCCTGTGACAGGCTAATTTTTGCAGCCAGAGTCAACCAGAGATGCATGTATTTTTAAAAGCCCATTGGGATGATTGACAAATCTGTAGTTCTGTCTTTTTGTTGGTTTATGTAAAAATTTCTTGTGAGTTGTAACATGAGTCGCGTTGCTTTCATTAAGTATTAATGCATTTGCCAATAGTTAACCAGAAAGTTCTGCTAAAGCAAACTTCACCTCAGTGTACAGTAAAAGCTGCTAACTAACTTTTCTTTGACAATATATATACAGCAGGCCTATCTTTGCTCACCTCAACAGCTGTGTTGTTGCCTGCCTGGTTGCCAGTACTGGTGTGTCTGATGTACTGTTTAAACTGCTGCAGACTGTCCAGCACTGCCTGTCGCAGCAACTCGCCTCCTCTGGTCGCTCCTCTGATACAACCTTCACCTGGAATAGACCTCAGCTCCTCAACACAGGAATGCAGCCTGGCCAGGTTACCACGAACCTGCTAAAAATTGAGAGGAACAGAGAAGAAAAATAAATAAAAGAGTGGTGGGAGAGGAAGAAAAAAAAGACGTATAAATAGCACTTAGAAACACTTCACCTTCACCTATCTTACCACAAATGGCAGTAGACATTCCTGCTGCCTGCTGATGGCATATATGCTGAGTAGCGGTATCCTACAGGGTCCATCCAGACTGCAGGCCAGGGACAAGAAGTTATCCAGAGCATCACAAAGCACCGTACAGGTCTCTGACCACCAGGGTGGCAGTGCCTCCACGATCAGGACTCTGGCTGGTTGCCGTGGAAATGAGGAGGACCAGTAAACCAAGTTCCCAGAGTTGGAGGAACTTGCTGGCTTCTTTCTGTTATCCATGGACATCTAAAAGCAACAAACACAAAAAAGCTTTTAAGGTAACATCCCAAGGATGATGAATTCTGTATTTGAACTTACCTGTTACATCCTACTTTGTCATGTAAAAATGCAGCAACCAAAATGTTCTCATGTTTACAACAAATCTAGCAGACCAAGAGGAGGAAAACCAGTAATTAACAAAACGAGCAGAGAACATAGACATAATATCAAACCACTGCCCTGTAATTATAATGAGCCCATGCAGTCAACAACATTAAAGTACATTAGCTGCAGTCATAATCATGAGCAATAAGCATCACTGTAAATAGAACATAAATAGATGGGCTATGATGAACATGAAAATTATATATGAATGTAGGTTATAAATGGTTCGGTTTTCAAATGACTGAGGGGCATTTCCTGACTCCTGGGGAGGCTAATGGGAAAAAGTGACTACAAAGTTCAGTTTTGTGCATTGAAAGACAACTATTTCATGGCTTAAAATGAGACTTTGAGAATCCATTTGTTGGCAAGAGAGTTCTCATTGAACTATGCCGTAGGGCATGGGTAATCATATTTTGCCATCCCCGGGTGCAAATTCCCCCTTAAATGGTCAGAGTTCATTATGCACAGAAGGACTTTACTTTGTGGTGAATGAATAATGATTGTTAACTTGCTGCATTGCTACATTGCAGCTAAATGATAAACTGGCAGTAGTGCTGTTAAAAGGATCAGACTATAACACAAAGAGAAACTCAAATGATTCCTGTGGGGAATATTAGGTTATTACAGCAGCAGAAAGTAAAACAAGATGGATGAAATGGAACATATACAGAGCACCGTAGCTAGCAATAATATTGTATCAATGTTAATTATTATTATCATTATTGATTAAACTGATGGTTATTTTTAAAATGTATGCGTCATCATTTGGTGTTTTTAATGTTGGATAACAATAAAATTATTTCATTTTCTTAGAGCCCGGGGTGATGTCTTCAAATTGCTTTTTTTATCTGGCCAAGAGAGATAGATCTAGATAGAAGAGAGAGATATTTAATACAAAATTACATAAAAGAGAAAAGCTCATCACATCTGAGAAGCTGTAACCAGCAAATGTTCGACATTTTACATGAATAATTACAACAAAACCATTATTCAACAATCTAATTGTTGGCTGGTCATTTTTTGTCAATTGAATAATCGAGTATTTGTTCCAGCACTAGTTAATATTTATACAATTTAACACAAAACTAAATTTAGTCCTGAATTCCATTTTAGAAGAAAAAAAAGGGGGTGGAAAGTCAAGACCACTGAGCTTTTTATAGACACATGTCTTTGATAAAAACCATATGTATATGTATAAAAAAAGCTCATCTGTTTTTCCTTTGTACAGCTTGCTAAGAATCATCAGGTGGAAAGGGCCTGTCTGGGAGGCTGTCAACCAGCATGAGTCAGTCATGCTATATAGAGGATGTGGCCAGAGGGATGGAGAGGGGAAAACCCCTCACGCTTCACAGAGTCAATCACACCATCTGAAACCCTGTCATTATGGAACGTATGTATGTGTGAAATCTGTCTTTTGTGTCTGGTCACTCGCATCATCATTACTGAAGGAAAACCCCCGATTTAACAACATCAATGACACCCTATTCTGACACACATCAGTACAATTAGTCATTTCATTTCCACACCTCAGTGTGCGAGAACAGACAGGACCACAGGAGCGTGAGGAAATAGGAAACAAGGCAAAAGATTGCTCTACAATTCTCAGTGCATGATGCAGGTTTCGGGGGCTTTTAATTATTTCACTAAAGTTGCTCTGAGGACCAATACGCTAATGGACCGAAATGCTAAGTTGAGCAATTAGTCAAATACATTAATTTTGATAATTAATTAATTGTTACACTGTTCACTGCTTCTCAAATAGGAGGGTTTGCTGATTTTATCATTTTTAAATCAACTGTAAATAATGATCTACACTGATCTCAATTAAATACATTTTTTTTAAAATAGATTAATAGTGAAAGTAATCATTAATTGCAGCCCTAGTCTTTATCTTAGAGCTCTAATTCAACACTTAAACATAACTAGCTATTTGTGTATATTTATTCAAGTTCAACTACTTTTCAACAGGGAAGCTTCTTCACACTGTTGGCTGGAACTGAGCTGGAAATATATGCAAAATGCTTTAATCATCAGCCCCTGTCCAAGGTCGGGGTACTGCCCTTCTAAAGACACACAGAGGACAACATTGTTTACAAATTCCTGTTCTTATTTGGTGATGAATTAATTTAACGGCGGATGGAATATTTAAACTTCCTGTCATCATGTTGCCATAAATCTGCCACTGGGTCTGTCAAAAGTTTAAAACACACACACACACACACACACACACACACACACAAACAGTCATACTGGCCTGTTGATGCCCACAACCAAACTGAAGCACCAACAGGACCCAATTTAAACTTAAAAAACAGGCAGAAATAACAACACATCCTATGGAAAACCCCCGTAGGCTTGGACTACTCTTATCAGAGCCAAAGCCATTGACAGAACTAATCCCTTCCGATCAAAAGCTGAGCTCTGTGCACTCTTTATCATCCGAGCTCTTAAATCCACAGTCCTGAAACCCTGCTCTGTTCTGATCGGCACAAAAAAGGGCTATTTTACCGTTAATAAAGGCCATATTGTGTGAAAGTGTGTCTGCCGTTTGATCTTCGGCCCTTCTCATCTATCTCTGACTCAGCTCTCCTCTTCTAAGCCAAACTCTGTCCTCCTCACCACCCAGATCACACATCATTCCCCCTAGCACCTTTGATCTTGCATCATCTCTTAGACCATGGTCTGTGTAATACATAAACAACTACACTGCGATCCAGTCCAATACCGACATAATATAGCTTCCGTTGGCCACAGCTGTATTGGCTTGGTGTCTGTTATTATTTAATTATTAATTATTTAACTGGCATAAATGTATCACATACAGTGTTACCAAAGCGCTATACACAACATGAACTATGCACTACACAACAATTAGGTAGCATTAAGGTCAGTGAAGGCTGAAAAAGTGTAATAACAGTGTGTCAAAAATGAATGCAAACAAGTTAACCTGAGAGCAAATTGGATGAGGACTTGAAGACAAAAACAGTAACGTTAAAGGTGAGTGGCAAGATATATTACTAACTATTCCGTTGAAAGCTAAATACTACATACAGCCAGGTTAGATTAGATCATCAGATGTTAGCTCTGTTATTTTAATAATTTTACCTGAGTTTAACAAGCTAATTTTAGTTTGTTAAATTACATTAAAGCCAACTTTAGTTAACTGTTAACGTACCTTAGCTTGGTTAAGCTCCTCTCCTCTGTTAACTTCTACTGGAACAGTTATATATACTTATATATATATTTAT